CAATGTTTGTCATGGAAAGTTGCCTTTTCTGTCAGCGCTGTGGTGGCTACTGGTCCTTCTATCTTACCAGTTTATGGTTGCCCTTGCATTTTTAAATTTGTTATAAAATGTACATAACCCATAGTTTAGCCATTTTTAACAGTACATCTTGGGCTGGGGCTGGGGTTGTGGATCAGTGGTGGAGCAATTGTCTCGCACGTGTAAGGCACTGGGTTAGATCCTCAGCATCACATAAAGAAATAAAACAAAGATATTATGTCCATCTACAACTAAAAATTTTTTTTTCTAAAAGAAAGAAAAGAGTACATCTCAATAAAGTTTAGTATGTTCACCTTCCTATGCAATCAGTCTCTAAACAAGCACCCTACTCCCACTGAGCCACACCCGGCCTTCTCCAGAACTTCATCTGCAAAACTAAAACTGTACATCCAGGAAACACCTCTCTAAGTCTCCTTTCGCCTGTCCCTGGCAACTACCCTTCTGCTTTCTGGGTCTAGAAGTCTAACCACACTAGAGACCCCATAAGAGCAGAACCACGCGGTATTGTTCCTTTGTGACTTGCTACGCCAGAAAACAAGGACACTCTCAAAAACTAATGGTATTGCCTAAAAGGAAACAGGAGCCAGCCTGAAAGGGTCTCTACAGGCCAAAGTTGTGGCCATTTGAGCACCAAAAAAGGACAATGATAAATTAAGGTATGGGTTTAGAAGTCAGGACCTGGGAGGAGGAAGGTTGGCTGTGTGTGCCCTGGGAGGTGGGTGGGTAGGGGCAGGTTCTAAATTCCAATGTGCACAGTTGTCACATGGCATGTTCTCTGTGGGAATTCACTGAGCTGAATGACCTGTCCTTTTCTATGTGGCTGTTATGCTCCAACCCAAAGATTAATTTAGAGCAGGGGATGGAGCTCCGCAGTAGGGTACATGCTTAGCACATACGAAGCCCTGGATTCAACCCCCATCACCAAAATGAAGATTAATTTTTAAAGAGGAATAATTCTAATGGATCAAGGCACATTCAATTAACAAAAGTCCATGAGTAGATAATACTCAAAACTGAGAAAGCCGGGGGGTGGGGGGACCAAGGGCTGGGGTGCAGCTCGGTGGTAGAGCGCTTGCCCAGCATGCAGGAAGCTCTGGGCTCTATTTCCATTGCAGAAAATAAGTTAAATTTTAGAACGAACTTCATGTGTCCCCATTGAGGCTGATCACAAAGTGCCTTACTTTGGAAAGTGGCACCAAAGGGGAGAGAGAGGTTCAGTATCCCTCCTGCCTTTGCCGCAGGAACCGTGTCTCGCAGTCACCCAGCAGCGTGCATAAAGAGAGGCCTCGATTACAGAGAATATCAGCTGAAGACGGAGCTGGTCACGTTACAGCCCTCATGGTGCCTCAGTTTCCCGCCCGGGGACTAGCAGGTGGGGTATGTGGAGTTGCTGCGACACTGCTGAGTAGCCAGTCCCCCTGCAATCAGATGGAATAACACCTAAAAAGCCCCTTTCTCCCAGATCAGTATTCTCAAAATCAAAAATAAAAAGGGCTGGGATGTGGCTCAGAGGTTACGCACTGCCGGGTTTAATCCCCAGGACCAATAAATAGATAGATAAATGCACCAGGATGCCATAGGACATGCGGTGTTGTCCACCACACTTTCTTGCCAAAATATTTAACTGGACTCCACCAAGACTTTAGAGCAAACACCCAACCTCCAGGAGCTGCAGGACGAGGAGGAAGCAGGAAAGACCCGGGGCCGGGGGTGGGGGGACAATCAGATGGACCAGAAAATGAAAGCATGCCCCGGACAAGCCCATGTTGTGAGGGAAGGGATTGAAGGTGCTAGAATAGCGGGCACCAGGGACACAGTGAGAGCATGGGGTGCAAGTCCTTGTCAACTGCACAGAACTCTGGGGGACAATGGGAAATTTTATTAACATGGGAAAATGAAGACGGTAATGGAGAGCAGGTTACAACAGCGTTACAGTGTAATGCCACTTTGGAAAAAAGACATATGGGATACAGAAACGCTAGAGAAATATCTAGAAAGATATGCAATAACATTTAACAGTGGCATCTCTGAGTAGCTATATATTTTTTTTTTCTTTCTGTATTTCTGACTTTCTACCATGCACATATTCTGATTGGGCAATGATGAAAGTATTTTTAACTTTTTGTTTTGGAATAATTATAGATTTACAGGGAGTTGCAAAAAGAATACAGAGAATATCGCGTACCCTTAACCCAGCTGCCCCCAAGAGTGGCATCTTATATAACTGTAGTACGGTATGAAACTAAAGGGAATAGTAATTAGACGTGATGCTGTTTAATGAGATTCAGACTTTATTCCGTTGCCACCATTTTTGTACACACACATAATTCTATGCAACTCAATGCATATATAATTCACATGATTTTATCCCACAAAGAGATTTATATTTTCCTGTAACCACCAGCTCAGTCAAGATAGATCCCATCACTACAAAAGAATCTTTGTGCTATCCTTTAGGCCTGAGCTCCTCTCTCCCATTCCCGTCATGATCTCTTCTCCATCTCTGTCAATTTTTTTCCCCCCAAAGAATGTTCTATCAATGATCATTTAGTTGCAAACTTTGAAACTGGCTTTTGTTATTAAACATATGTCCTAAGGTCCAAGTCTTTATTATCAATAATTCATTCCTCATAATAGTTCTTTTTATTAAGAATATATTTGAGTATATATCCCACCTGAATTTTAACATGATTTTAATAATTATGTCCCTATTTTCAAACACCACAGGTAGATGAGCGACTTGGTCTATTCTCCCTTGAAATTGTGTCCTGAACCAGTCAGGTGGTTGGTGACTTGGCTGTGAACTGCTGTAGGGGCCAGATGGGGAATGACTATCTGCCCTGTCACTACTCTGGCTCAGCGCAGTGCTTTCCCCCCAGGGAATGTTCTAGAAAGGCTTCTTAAAATGGTCCTAACTAAGCCTTTGGGGAGGGGCGGGAATACACGTTGACTAGGAGTTCCTTCTCAGAATAAGTCTTGTCAAACTCAACACATTTTGTGGTATTTTTAACTGGGCCAATTGCCTGGCGGGCACAGAGCATGTGTTTGGCAACATTTTCTTCAATTGTTGTGGAAAAGTGATAAAAATTAGAGCAGATCATGGTCCAAGCCAGAAGGGAGATGCTCAGCCTGGCAGGAGCATCCAGCAAGCAGCTCTGGGAGGCCTTGGCAGAGGTTCTGTTGGAGTCAGGGGTTCAAACCCCAGCTCTGCCTCTGTACCAGCCATGGCCCACTGGCTCAAATGAAGCACAATTCCAGAAGGACTCAAGGGCTAGTGCAGAGCCCTGAAGCTGGAAACAGGAAGCACCCCCTAAATTGAAGGGGCCATAAAGGAACAGTCACTGGAGTCCTGAAGGAGAGTCAGTTGGAGGAGCCCTGGAGAGGTGGCCTTTGATGGAGGTGGCCTTCGATGGAGAAGCAGCCAGCCTGAGTTGTCCCGCAGGGCACAAGCCAGGGGATTGGGACCTGCTCCTCACCTGCCAGCCTCCTCCCACCTCCTGCCAAAGCTCCCGCGGGGGACCCATTGGGAACCACAGGGCGCAGACCTGTCGAGCCAGAAGCCCTGGGCAGAAGGTGGAGAGGTGAAGGAAGACTTGGGCAAAGCCATTTACTACCTGGGGCTGAGGCAAGTCCCTTCCCCTCTCCTGACCTCAGCTTCCTTATCTGTAAAGTAATAATGTGGCCTCCCTGCTCGAGTCAAGGGGAGGAAAACGTGTTTAAAGTAAGTACAGTACCCAGCACTGAGCCTGGTGGGAAAGAGTCTACTGTCACTATGACTCCAGTGGGGACAAATTGTTTGATAGAAAGATGGGACCAGGGGAGCAGTTTGAGACAGCCTGCCTGGTACCACCTGGGATAAACACCACCATGCTCACCAGGTAGTCCCTCTACCTGTAGGAACATCAGGTACCCGGGCAAAGGGACATCCAAGTCCCAGACTGCACGCCCTGCCGTTTTAACATGGGGGCAAAACAATGTTGGCATCCACTTGTGTCCTCCTCCCCCACCCACCACAGGCTCCCACCAGCCAACAGTGGTCTATTTTAGCAAAAGACCATTTGTTTAAGGAGCCTGCCAAATGCGAGGGTCCAGATTTCTCCTTTTCTTTTTTTTAAAAGAGTCACAGATAAAAATAAACTCAAGATGGTCTGTTTCTGCCGAAGCTGGTTTATCCCCCTCCCCCAAAACTCATGTTGAAAATTTAATTGCCCTTGTGGGGTGTTGAGAGTTGGGGCCTTTAAGAATGATTAGGTCATTAAGAGAAATGAATGCCTCTCTCACACAACTGGGTTATTCTCATGTGACTGGAGTAGTTATCATAAGAGCAGGTTCCTTTGTGTAGGGGGTGTAGTGGGGATTGAACTCAGGGTCACTGAGTTGAACTCAGTGGAACACTGAGCCACATCCGCAGCCCTATTTTGTATTTTATTTAGAGACAGGTCTCACTGAGTTGCTTAGGGCTTTGCCATTGCTGAGGCTGGCTTTGAACTTGCCATCCTCCCGCCTCAGCCTCTGAAGCTGCTGAGATTACAGGCATGCAACACTGTGCTTTGCTGAGAGTAGGTTCTTATAACGTGAAGTTGCCCCTCATGTTCCGCCTCCTGTACACAGGTCCACTTACTTTTCTGTTTTCTGCCTTTAGTTGAAATAGCGTAAGGCCCTCTCCAGCTCTACACGCTTAGACTTTCCAGCCTCCAGAAAAGAGAGTCAAAATAAACTCTTTCCCTTTAAATTATCCAGTCTAAGGGATTTTGTGATTGCAACATAAATTGGACTAAGACATCTTCTAAACAGACTTGTCGTTAACTAACATCAGGACCATGGGAGGAGGGAGGAGAGGACCTGTCAGACTGGCCACTCAGCCTGCCAATTCCACCAGCCCAGGCTTTGAAGCCAGTTTAGAGACTAGCTATTGGGAGACTCCACAGCCCAATGCCCCCCAGATAACTTTGGAGGAAAAATTCAAGTTGACAAATTATATGAAATTTACTCAGAAGATACCAGGTCCATGGAGCTGCATCTTAAAGAACAGATGCCACTCTCCCAAGCCAGGTGCCCCAAGACAGGGGTTGCCAGATTTTGCAAAAAAAAGTACATAATAGCTCATTACATTAGAATATCATATACACAACAAATATTCTTTTACTATGTCCCAAATATTGCATGGGACATACTTAAACACTAAAAAATTATTAGTTGTTTATCTGACATTCACATCTAACTGGGCATCCCATTCAGGAATGACAAGGGCAGTGCTGAAAAAGGACACATTTACAGAGGTCTCAAACTGGTGGCCTCAGGGCCATGAGGCCCAATCATGTGTGTTGCCCAGTTGTTAGTTTATAAAATTGAATTCAGCTGCCAACATTTTAGCGAGTAGTAGCTGGTAGTAGCCGCCCTGCTATGAAAACATAATGGAACAGAAGGAAACCCGGAACCGTGGAAATTGATTACTGATTTGTTCGTCGGTTGCAAGATGAGCCTGGAAGTTGTGCGGTCTCAGGCCTGGGGAACTGGCTCCAACGCTGCAGTCCACCCTTCAAGTGCTGGCTGCAGGTTCTGACAAGCTTTCCCATCAGCAAGGCCCTGGCCAGGGCTACTTTCCCCTTTCCTGGCTGGGGATGGAAGCTTCTGGTCACATGTTGGAGAAATGTGTGCCCGCAGTGCCCCCTGCAGACCGAGGCTGCAGTTGCAGGTTCTGGAGAAGATCTGGCTCCATCCCAAGATCTGGCTTGGGACAGTGGCATCTGTTCCCTGGTAATTGTATAGCCACAATTAGGAGTGAAGCAAGCAAAATCCAGGAGAAATTAAAAGTAGAAATAAACTGGAAATAGCAAGCACTTGAGAAGTCCCTTTCCAGGCAGAGCTATGAGAGCTCTGTTCCCCAGAGGTGGTATCCTTGTCCTACCCGCAAAGAATTGAAAACAAGGACTGAAATAGATACTTGTATGACAATGATCACTTTAATAGCCCAAAGGTGGACACAACTGCCCATTCATCCATAGATGAATAGGTAACTAACTCTGGCACAGACATGGGCACGGCGTTATTCAGCCACTCAAAACTCTGATATGTGCTACCCCGGGAGGAACCCTGAAAACAGAATTCAATGAATAAGCCAGTGAGCCAATTTCCAGATGAAGAAATGAGGCCCAGAGAGATGTGAATGGCTTCTCAAGGTCACATGGCTACAAAGTGGTAGACTTATGACCCAAATACAACAAAGCTACTTCCAAGGTGTGACTTCAAGTCAGTCACTCGACTTCCCTTGAGCTTCAGTTTTCCAGTCTATAAAATTCAATAATGAGCAGGGTTGGGCGGAGACTGTTTGAGATAATACATGCAGCATGGGCCCATGGCAAGCACTTACGGGACACACTTATTGTTCTTTTTCTACCTCTCCACTATCAAACACCTCCCATCTAACTTTGGCAAAAAGATGTGTTTATTTACAAGATATGAATTGTGTCCCTACCACAAGCCGGGCCTGAGGCTAAGCATTTTACAGACATGATTTTCTTTAATCATTTTTTAATATTTATTTTTTAGTTGTAGGTGGACACAATACCTTTATTTTATTTTTATGAGGTGCTGAGGATCGAATCCAGTGCCTCACACACGATAGACGAGTGCTCTACCTCTGAGCCACAACCCCAGTCCCTACAGATGTGATTTTTATTGTGCCTGAAACCTTTCTGAAGGAGGCATTAAGAACCCCACTTCACAGATGAGGAAACTGAGGCTTATACAGGTGCAAGAATTTGCCCCAGTTACCTCAGTTAAGAGGACAAAGAGGAGGATTATCCTAGAAGCATCAGGTTTTGGAAGAGACTGAAGCTGAAAGACAAGTTGCCCAGGATGAGCCCTGGAGGACTGCCCCTGCCCCCAGGCTTGGGGAAGCGATGACAGCAAAGCCAAGAGACTAGGGTGGTGGGCCAGGGGAGCTCTCTAGGGAGCTTTCCTGCCCCTGGCACTTCTGACCTCTGTAGTGTCTCCTTCACAGGGAACTCAAAAGCATATGAACCTTGAAGGATCAGAAATGCGCTCCTTTCCTGTGTCTGCTGGACTGCAATGAAGCCAAAGACTACCAACAGAGCCAGACAGAGGGCTGGCTCTGCCACTTATCAGCTGGGTGATCTCAGACTAAGTCATGGCATTATTATTATATTTATTTTATTTTACTTTTTTGTGGTGCTAGGGATTGTGCATGCGAGGCAAGCACTCTACCAACTGAACTATATCCCCAGTCCCCTTAGTGTGAAGAAAAACAGAGACAGAAGCAAGCAAGGTGCAGGGGCAAAGTAAAAAGGGCTCATCTGAGCTGCCAGCTTTATTCATATCCATAGGTCACATTAGGTCATTGATGTCAAGTACATACTGCTCATTGTATAAAGTGACATTACCATAGCAGCTAGGCATTGAGCATTTATTAGTCATCTTACTAGTCCAGGGAGAAACTAGAATACTCCAAATGTGGATAACAGGGTGCCTGTTACCCTCCAGAAGTTTGGTCCCCAGAGGAATGCTGCCCTGTACATATCCAGAGCCAGAATCCTTGCACCTTACAGTGCATTTTTTTTTTTGAGGGAGAGAATTTTTTAAATATTTATTTTTTAGTTTTTGGCGAGCACAACATCTTTGTTCGTATGTGGTGCTTAGGATCGAACCCGGGCCACATGCATGCCAGGCGAGCGCACTACCGCTTGAGCCACATCCCCAGCCCCAGTGCATTATTTTCTATTCGGCTTCTCCCTCTACTGGAGAAGTCACCTCCGACACAGGCAAGCTTTTTTTCTGGTTGTTTTCCACTATTGTATCTCCAGTAACTAGAATAAACCCTGGCATGTGGTAGGTACTTGAGAAATATTAATGGACTGATTGTGGGAATGCAGTTGGACCTTTATCCAGAGTTCCACACCTGTGGACTCAACCACAGCTCAAAAATATTCTTTTCAAAAACGCATTTGTAGCTGTGCCTTATGGTGCACGCCTGTAATCCCAGTGGCTCAGGAGGCTGCAACAGGAGGATTTTGAGTTCAAAGCCAGTCTCAGCACCGGTGAGGTGCTAAGCAATCCTGACTTTAAATAAAATACAATAGGGCTACAGATGCGGCTCAGTGGTCAAGTGTCCCTGAGTTCAATCCCCAGTATCCAAAAAAAAGCATTTGTACTAAACATGTACAGACTATTTCCCCCCTGCAGTGTAGGGTATCAAACCAAAGCTAACCCAGCACACCCACTGAGCTACAGTCCCATTCACTTTTTCTTGTCATTATGTCCCAACAATACTGTACTTCTATAGCATTGAATTTATCAGGTATTATCTAGAAATGATTTAAAAAGACTATTGGAGGACTTGCATAGATTCTAAGCAAATTCATCGTTTTATATGAGAGTATCCCCAGTTTTTTGGTATTTACAGGAATCTCTAAATTAATCCCCTAAGGACACTGTGGAACAATTATATATTCTTTAATAAAACATTCTGTGGGGCTGAGGCTGTAAGCTCAGTGGTAAAGTCTTGCCTCGAATGTGTGAGGCACTGAGTTCAATCCTCAGCACAACATAAAAATAAAGATACTGTGTGTTCATTTACAACTAAATATTCTGAGGCCAAACACAGTGGTTGGTGCAAGCCTATTATCCCAGCTAAGGCAAGAGGATGGCAAATTCAAAGCTGGTCTCAGTAATCCCCTCTCAGAATTAAAAAGGGCTGGGATATAACTCAGTAATAAAGCATACCTGGGTTCAATGCCCAGTACAAAAAGGAAAAAACAAAATTCTGGGACTATGGATGTAGCTCAGAGGTAGAGCATTTGCCTAGCATGTGAGGCCAAGGTTCTAGGTACTAAACCTAGAATTACAAAAAAAAAAAAAACAAAAACAAAAAAACCTAGCATTACAAATATATATATATAATTTCTATGTGGTACTGAGGATTGAACCCAGTGCCTCACATGTGCCAGGTAAGCTCTCTGCCACCGAGCCAGAAACCCAGCCTTTTTGTTGTCTGCTTACTTAACACCCACTATTATGAAAGAGTAGCTCAAAAACCTTTGGGGGCAAATAGGAAGCAATCATTCCCTATTTCTCAGATGGAACTGGGAACAGCTAACTCCTCACCTGTGCCTCTGGAACCTGCAGGTACTCTGCTTGCAGGATTGATACCATTTCATGAGCTTGGGAGCCCTGCTGTAGCCAAACTGATTCACTTTTTTTGTATTGTAGATGGACACAATACCTTTATTTATATGGTGCTGAGGATCAAACCCATCGTTTGTTTAGTGAAGTGCTTTACCACTGAACCACAACCCAGCCCATTCATATGTATCAATGTACCAATATTTACTGAGTATCTTACCATCTGCCAGGCTCTATGGGGTATTGCCATATAACTATTCCAAGGCTTTGTAGCTTGAAATAAATGCTAGATCAGGAATCCAGGCAAGACTCGAGGTAGGTCTACTTCAGGGAGTGGAAGACAGGGTCTCGCTATAAAAAATCCAATCAGGGCTGGGGATGTGGCTCAAGCGGTAGCACACTCGCTTGGCTTGTGTGTGGCCCGGGTTCGACCCTCAGCACCACATACAAAGATGTTGTGTCCGCTGAAAACTAAAAAATAAATATTAAAATTCTTTCTTAAAAAAAATCCAATCACTGTCAGTTGCCTTAGATGTACATGCACATTCCTCAGAAGCTAATGAAAGCCAGGTCTCTTCTGCAGCACAGATCCCTCTGAAGTCCCACATGGCAAAGGGGAAGATGTAGGAGTGCCTGGCAGCTCAAGCAAGCTGTCTCCTCAGTTTGCAGAGGGTCTTGATTTAAATGAGCATCATCATGGCAACCTATCAGCCGACCATAGTTCCTATGCTACAGATTTAGTAACAACTAAGTTGTGATCAGCTGGTGTCTTCACTAGAGAAGCACCTGTTGGCATGAATACCCCGTACTAATGGCTTCAAAATACCAAGTCCCCTGCCCCTTTCAACATGGCAGGCTGCTCCACCGAAGTGAGCAAAGTAATGAGACCTAGCAAGCAAGTCAGAGCTGCCTACTAGGCCACTGGATTCTCACAAAAACCAAAGGAAATTTACAGATACCTGTTTGCTACTTGTTATCGCTACTGAATGTTTACCTCCCATGACAAAATACAAGTTTTAATTTCTTTTATTCTTTCTGCAGGTAGAAATGCTACAAAGTCAGAAATTTAATTCTTGAATTTTTCAAGAAAGGGGGGAGTACAGCCTTCAACTGGGGCTAGCCCTCCAGCTAAGTACACAAACACCTTGTGGGACTGGTTCAGCTGGAAACACAGGACTCCTTTTTCTTTCAGTATTTGTACTCCAACTCCATGGCTGAGCAACTTCTAAAAGGAAAATAAAAAGTACATTATAATCTGTTCCATTTTGGTCAGAAAAGTGCTATCTGGGAATATGGAAGCATGTGGTTCTCCACACGCTGGTCCACCCTCAAAGTCAAGGAGCTGGCTAACTCCCACTAAGATAACCCGTCTCTTCTACACTGCCAATATTGTGCCCATGTATTATTCCCACACTGGTTACAATTGAAATACTTAACCTAAATCCAGAAATAAGCCCTTCTGGGTAAAGGTAACAGTCAAACTACAAACATGGGCTGGGGAGTAGCTCTGTGGTCGAGCCTAGTGTACCAAAGCCCAGGGTTCAACCCCTACTACTGTCCCCAAAACAATTTTGTTGATTCTCAAGTGACACAACCTAAATATAAATGCACCGTACAATTAATACATATATGTGCCAATGTGTAGTGGATAACAGACTATGTAACTGAGAATATTCTCAGTTGTTAAAGGATCATTGAGTTTTTCTGCATTGGAGATTGAACCCAAGGGTGCCTTTACCAATGGGTTACATTCACAGCCCTTTTTTTAATATTTATTTTTTAGTTTTAGGTGGAAACAATATATTTTATTTTACATGGTGCTGAGAATTGAACCCAGTGCCTCATACATGCTAGGCAAGCACGCTACCACTTGAGCCACATACCTCCTTGAGAGGGTTTAAGTAGCTCAGACTCGCCTTGTCTCAGTCTCCCAAGTAGCTTTAATTATAGGTGATCACATACTACCATGCCTGGCAGAGGATCCTCTTTAAATGTCAAATCTTCACATGAAAGCCTGAAGCTATACCAGAACACTTTGAATCTAGGGTAATGAGTGACAACAATCTAAATTTCTACAGCTTTTCAGTCAGTGGGGGGGGGGGGGGGGGGGATGTGGCTCAGTGGTAGGGCACTTGCCTTGCATGTGCGCGGCCCTGTGTTCGATCCTCAGCACCACATAAAAAAAAATAAAGGTATTGTGTCCAACTACAACTAAAAAATAAAGTTACGGAATGAATTACTAGGAGACATCTGTAATCTATAGGAGGAACACCATACTCAAGGAGGGGAGCTGTCACTGTTGTTTACTCTTTTCACTAGTTAAAGGTTCTAGGCAAGTAAAGGAATACTCATTTGGCAAAAGTGGATTTTCTGTGTTAGGCACAATTTACTAAGGGATCATTCAGGTCAGCACAAGGTATGCAACTAAGGTCTGACTCAGACCAGTCTCAACCAACCAGATAAGCAAACTGCCAGAAAAAAGGGATGGTGCTGTTGCCTTCTGTATAAAGTAGTGGTGGGAGGAACAAACACAAATAGCCACCTGTGTCTATCTGCTTTGGTTGCTCACTTTGATGAAGCAAGTCAAGATGCTAAAGAGACCCACGTAGCAAGAAATTGAGGACAGCCTCCATTCACCCAACACACAAATAAGGCTTACAATTGAATGCCACAAAAATAATCATGATCAAACGAATTCCAACTCATGTGAGACAAGTTCCTTGATTTTTTTTAATTTAGTAGTTGTACACAATACCTTTATTTATTTATTTTTATGTGGTGCCGAGGATCAAACCCAGGACCTTGCACGTGCTAGGTGAGCTCTCTACCACTGAACCACAATCCCAGACAAGTTCCTTATTTTAAAAGATGCAGTATTTGCCAGGCTAAGGAAACTACAATGTCCAGCAACTTTAAGACTTTCTAGTACCAACAGCCCAACATCACCCCCCATAAGAACAACTTCAAATTCATTCCCCCCTCCCACTTTATACACAACTCAGTACTGGGTCAAAAGTGGGGTGTGACAGCTGGAAAGCAGAAACCTCACCTGTTGCAGGACGGACTGAAGCAAAGACATCAGATTAGACTAATGTCAACATAGTAGCACCCAGGACTCCTGTAGGAAATGAACAAATAATCTGAATGCTGGAATAACACCAACCAACAGAGCAAGCAACAAATAAAAACAAGTTATTTTGTGTCGATGCATCAGATAAAACTGGCTTACAGGTTTAGTTAGATCAACAGGGTCGATCTGATGGGGAAAAAAGTTGTGTCATCAGCTGCATCGGCTCAATGAGTAAAATTTGAGTCAAAAAGACAGTTCCACACTAGGAAAAAGCAGTTACTTTCCCACGTCTGTTCAGATGAGGAAGAAATGCCGGCATCACTTACCAATCCTTTCACACTCCTGGAATTCATCCTTGTTCATTCAAACCCTGGTTTCTGGTAGCAAACCTAAGATAAAACACAGAAAGATTAAATCCCATCAGTTAGATGGGCAAGGGATTAGGAGGTGGTTGGTGCTCAAGCAGGCATATCAGACAGAAACTGGCTTAGAAAAGTTAGATCAACATGGTCGATCTGTCGGGGAAAAAAGTTCAGTCATCATATATGCCAGCAAGCAGCTCTTTGAGTTTTTGGTGGGGGGGAGTACCAGAGATTGGGCCCAAGGGCACTCAGTCATATCCCCAGCCCTTTTTTATTTTAAAACAGGGTCTCACTAAGTTGCTAAGGCTTGCAAACCTCCTGCCTCAGCCTCCTGAGCCACTGGGATTATAGGCCTGTGGCATGTTTTGCAGCTGCTCTTTGAGCTCTAAACAAGAGGAATATGGAATAAGATAAGTTGCTGCCACATCTCCTCTCATTCAGTGAGCAGAAATCACACCTGAAATCCCAGCCACTTGAGAGGACAAGGCATTGATTGGAAGGACTGCTTGAGGCCATTAGTTTTGAGTTATTAGCCTAAGCAATATATAGCCAGACCCTGTGGGCAATATTCAGTAAGGTCTCAGTTCTATGTGCCTCATTTCTGCATTCAAGTGAAGGGGGTGGGGATAAGCTCTGCAGTTAGTATCTAGGTTAACAGAAATTCTTTTGGTTTTTCACAAATGGAAAAGCTCAAGAAAGCTCTTTGGACATCTAGAACTGTTTCTTCCTAGGAACCCATCCAATATATAAATTGTTATAAGCACCTAAGAGTTTCAATAGAACTCTGGGAAAAGTAGCTCTGTGGCAGAGCACATGTTAAGCATGCTCAAGGCCCTGAGTTCCAACCAGCACCAACACAAAAAAACTAACTTCAATTAAATTTAATCATAACCTCCAAAGTTTGTCTTAGATCCTAAGACATACGTGCTTACCCCAGAGCTCTGAAGACAGAAAGTGGGGTTCCCGTGGAAGCCCAGAGGTGAGCCCGTCTTGCAACATCCATTCTGAATCCAATTGCGTTAACCTAAAATACAAAAGGGCGTCAGTCGCCATTTTCCATGGCCAGGAAAGAGCAAGGAGAGGAAGGGCCTCTTGAAGCTGGTGTGTCAGAATTAACTGGCAAGTGTTAAAAAAAAGATCAGCATTGTCGATCTGATGGGGAAAAAAGTGAAGTCATCATTTACACCAGTCAAGGGCTCCTTAGAGTCAAGCAGAAGGCGCGAGTTTTCCTAGCTAACTCATTTCCCCACGGCCCTAACGCCTCTGCGCTGGAGAAGACTAGGCCAAGCAGGGGAGGCGATGGCACTAAGAGGACAAAAGAGGACCAAACTCGTGACAGGAAAACAGTGGGGTCCCCACTCACCATTAAACAAACGTGGTGGGCAGCGAAGGAAGACATGCCGAGGATCGCGAACAAAACTACCACACACCACAAGCACCTCCGAAGCAAAAGAACGAACGCGGCCGGAGCCTCCCTTATATAACCAGCCGGACTGGCGCGCGTGAGCACTGGCAGGGGGCCCGCCCCTTCCGGCCCGCCGCGACGGCCCCTGGGAAACATAGTCCCCGAGCCGCGCAGCCCCAAGCGTTCTAATGGTTGTCAAGGCCGCGCCTAGCCCCGCCCCACGCCTCGTACACACTGGGCAGCCGGGCTCCTCTGCCTCGCCGCCATGTCGCGCTTCGCACGCACCGAGCGGCTCGCCTGGTCCCCGCTCCCTCGGGACCGGCTGAGGCCTGCGTCGGCCCCGGACGCAGTTATCCCGGCCCCCGCAGTCCCCTCCCCGAGGCCGCGCCCGCCCGCGCCCGCCGGCCCCGCCGCCTGGGGGAGCTGAGGCGACGCCCGCCTTCCGCCCGCCCCGAGGGCGGGGGCGCTCGGCCCGGCCCCTCTCCTGCGCCCGCGGCCCCACCGCCTCCTCCGCCTCCTCCTCCTCCGGGCCGCCCGCCCGGCTCCTCGCCCCGCCCCGGGTCTGCGGGAAAGGAAACCGAAAGTGCGCGGCGCCGGGCGGGGCCGCCGACCTGCTGGGCCCGAGCCCCACGCCCGCCGGCACTGCCGCCGGAGCCCGCAGCCGGTGAGTGCCCGCCGCGCCCGCACCTGCCGCCCCGCGCCGCCCCGCGCCGCCCGCCGGAGCCCGCGGCCCCTCCTCAGCGCCCGTCACCCCCCGGAGTCCTTTCCCCTCCTGGGT